AACGACATAACAATTGCATGGCATTCTTGTTGTTGAATTTGTGGACTAATATCTGATCAGGTGATTATTTGTTGGGCACCTAAGGCACTTTATGTAGTTTTGCCTCTATCATTGTCGGGTTCGTATTTTTGACATGGCCATGCAAACTTGAATTGTTATTGCACACTGCATGATGGGAATGGTCGTATGGCAACACCAATGATCGGATCATGGACATGAACACCTTACGCAATGCTTATATCAATTCCCCACCTTTGTGCATAACCAACGAATATTGTTGTGGCCTTGAGGGCGCCGCTGGTTTCTGAAGCTTGCGGGGTCGCCACGCCCTATGGCTTGGCTGGTGGCGGTGCAGCCGGCCCTCTCCACCACACTTGGTGGGCGGCAACGGGGCGCTCGTTCCCTCGTATGCGCGGTGGGCCCAAACACGAACGAGGATCATTCCCCAGGGCCTGCTGTATACGGCAGGTGGTGGCGTAGCCAGGCGGTGGCTCGCTGGTCGCGGAGAGACCAGGCAGTGGGCCAAAGATCGAAGTACACGCGTGACCTACACACGCCTGTTTCAGGACCCGCATGCGCGCAGGGCCCGATCGCGAGTCCCTCGCGGTCACATCAAGACAGGACAGCATACAACAATATATAACGTATTGTAAGGTATTAGGCGCACGTGTCCCCGCCCACCATTCACCTAAATCAGCTCCATATAATTCCCGATGCTGCTACCTACCGGTCCGAATCCCATGCTAAAGTACTATAACTTCAATTGGCCATAACTTCACTGTGACATGGCTGCTTGGGGTTTAGGCTTATTTGACATTTCTGGAGTGGGAATTACGTAATTGACTAAATCGACCTTTTGGGAGTGTAGTTGAGAGCTTCCTGGTTCCAACGAGCTTTTAAACGCCCGATTCCGTTAAGAAACGGCGAAGATATGGCCTCCTGAAGTCGTAGTACTTAGGGCCAGGGGGTCGGGTGTTCAATGCTTGGAATTAGAGGACATTAGGTCGATCGTAGGTGAACGGTGGACGGTGACGATGTGCCTGGACGTGCACCTGACTTGTCTTGTATTGATGTGACAGCGATGGACCCGCGATCGGGCATCGCGCATGCGGATTTGTGCGCGCGCATTGTGAATCGTGTAACACCGTTCTGCTTGCTTGGTCTCTCGACGATGAGCCACGGCCGCCACCACCGCCGCGTCTGGCGGGCCGGGGGTGATCCCCATCGTTCTGGGCCCACCGCGCATCCGAGGGAACGAGCGCCCCGCTTCAGCCCACCGAATTCGGTGGAGAGGGCTGGCTAACCTCCAACAGCCAAGCCGCAGGGCGTGGCGACCCCACGAGCTTCGGAAACCAGCGGCGCCCTTCAGGGCCGCAACATTCACCGTTTCTACACGGAATTGGACGTTTAAGGCACTATCGGCATCAAGAGCTCTTGAATAATCCGATTTTAATGTATTTGCATTTTTATTTGCACTTTTTGACTAACCATCACTTCAAAAATACCAATTTTAGCTTACCCCAAAGTAGAATCACCACAAATATTGTAGGTATAGTGAACACCTATATTGGGTGCGTTCGAGTGTACAACATACTGGTACGAGGTCCCATTGCACATCAGAGCTTACATGATGTGGTACAGAAATAGTGCCAAGCCAAGAAACGGTTGGGGCGTGGTACTTCTTTTGTATATATATACATAAGACTGCTGAGTTTTGTCCATAGTTACGACCAGAGCCTCGTGAAAGCACCCAAACCCATCAGAACTTGGAAGTTAAGCACGAGTGCGCCGGATTAGTACTGAGATGAGGGATCTCTCGGGAAGTCCCGGTGTCGTGATTCTTTTTTTGCCCGCCTCTCCATTTTACCCATCCGGACGGCGAGCTCCAGCTAGAGTGTCCCTCTCCCGCCGTCTAAGACACACTTCCCGCCCAAGTGGCAAACCACAGGGGCCCCACGGCGTCGAGGACGGCTGTCCTCAGGCGCGCATCCCTCCACAAAGACCAAAGGTGCCAATCGCTTTCGTCCCTGGAGACAGACCACCTGGAGATCCATTTGAAGATCTGACGGCTCGTTTTTGCTGTTGGGGCGGGGGCCTCGCTGCACGACCCGCTGGCGGCGATCGGAGAAGGCTCGGTGCAGTATTGAGTTTCTTTTCGTGCGGCAATCCTGGGCGATCACGGCCATTTGTGCATTCGACGATTTGGGCGAGTGGGTTCGTGGGCAGCGGAAGCCCCGCGCCCTTGCAACGCGAGTCCGCTCCTGTTGGAGCTCGCTTCCGGGCTTGCCAGAGTGTGCGCAGAGTGGCTTGCCAGGTTGCCGCCTTTCCAACGGGCATTTTGCGCTAAGGCAGCGGCGGGATGGGCGGAGCAGCCGCCCGGGAAGGTTGGCGGCGCGTCCCCCCGTACCCGGCGCATAGTTGCATTTGCGCCGCATTGCCGCTGTGCTGCTCTAGATTACGGGCGCGTGCGCTGGCAGCGGCGTTCCCGAAACCCAGGGCTCCAATGCCAACTTCAGGTGCATCTCCTCACAGCCGATTCCCACCACAACGGAGGTTTGCCCAACTTGGGGGCATCTCCTCGAGGTCCAATCCATATTGGTCGCTTATCTCTGTCACGAAGACTGCTATGAAGCAGAACTTTTTTCTGTTGAGGGCATTGCTCACGCAGGGCCCCCCTTTGGTGGCGATGACAGGCCCTGTGCCATTTTGCCCCTTATTTGGGGCCATTGCAAACATCCTCCTCAACATTGTGGGTGTGTTTAACAACGAGATATAGATCCCCCGTGAGTGCCTGCTGCATGTGTGTGCAAAGCTGCTTCCCACCTCCAGCTTGTCAATGCTGCGCAGCTGCTCCAAAGGCTCCAATACAGTGCATGGTAGCAATGGTGATGTGCAGATTTGAACTCGGCCCATAGTCTGTGCAACATGCAAAACTTGAAGGTTGTTCGCCGCGTGATGCATGAGGAGCGATGAGGCACAAACCAATACTCTGTCGTTGCATCTTGTTGCACGGGAAATGAGGACACTGCCATGAAAAGGAACATGACATCGCTGAACTTGAGTGAGAAACGAAAAGCCATTTGAAGCTAAAGAGCGAGAGAAATGAAGTCAATTTGGCACTAGCCATATTACAAAACGTTGTCCGCCTTGACCGTGAGCACTATCTGCACTACCTCACGTTGGCAGTTGTGATCAAGATCATTGGTGAAGCAGTTCAGTATCAACGGCAGCACAAATCTCACCATGGCATCGCCCACAGACACTGACAATGAGAATATGGCTCCTACCATGGCCCACTGCCCAGCTTCCTCAGTTACTCCCACGAACATAACTTGTAGAAGGATCTGCAATCCATCCCCCATCAGCGCACCCACAAAACCCACTTTTGCAAAATACACATGTGGGAATCCATCCTTTGCAGCCTTGTTTACCATGACACTTGTACCCCATGGGAGGTGCTTCAACACATCAACGTCCAAAAGCAAGAGCCCAGGGAACAGCAAGAGCCAGTCATATAAATTCATGTCACCTTGGCTTCTCAAGTGCTGAATGAGAGTCTTGGAGGAATTTTGCAGCCCAGCTTCAATTCCTATACTCTTGCTGTGCAGGCCCCACACTACTGACACTATCATGAACAGTCGAGTTGATGCCAAGACTACTGCACTCAAAATCCCAATCCCAAGCAACACCATTCCCTCATCCTGTTTCGAATCACCCTCTGAGGGACTGTTCATTGAGCTGTCACTCAGAAGAAATGCGGTCAGAATGAACCCCACATCTGACAGAAGATGAGCCAATGCCAGCACATGCCCTGCAAATATGTCCCTCAGTTCTTCTTTTGGCCTCCATCGTCTAGAATGGCAGCGGCAACACTTACACATGTAAGCAAATAGCAGAATAGGCACAACGATCATCGAAGAAACAATTCCTGAGCCAGTAAGCATCGGCAGAAGGCCCTTTGCTGCGTTGAGCAAGTCAGAGCGATTTCGATGAGGGGAGCTGTCAGGGCTCATTGGAAGCGGCAGTGGCTTTGAGGAGCAACATCTGCGACGTGGGGTGGAATGCTGGTCTGCAGGAAGAGCAGGTAGGTGGAGAAAGCCAGAAGATGGATTTGTGAGAATCCCGTTAGGTATATTTTGCAAATCGTTGAGAAACAATTCTGCTCCAGGCAACAGAATAGTTGCCTTACTGTGACATCCACCCTCTTCCAACCATAAACTATGGACTTCTTCCATTTTAGACCTGTTCATTGCTATCTGGCGTTCCAAATGCTGTGAATTGCCATCCATCATTCCATTGATGACCCTGCAAGTGTTGGGCTTCCACCAGACTCGAATTGGCATTTTCCAGTTTCCTGTCCACAACTCCCCATTTCCGAGGTGCCTACATAGGCGCAATGTTCATTGGGAGCAACCTTCCCATCAATTGGGCAGATGCACTGCACTACCTCTTTGGCCCTATCCATGCAAGTTTCCACATGGTTGAACTGTGTCTGTACCAAATCGCCGTGCAGTTATTCTTTGCTGCAGTGGAAGGAAGTGCACATTGCATTGCTGTGATGCATTCTTTTGGAGTTGAGCACCTGTTGCCCCCAATTGTAAAGGCTGCTTCTTCCAGTGAAGAAGTTCACCAGCAGCAGGCCACAAGCCAAGTGGGCCACTGTGTCAGTGGCCACATCGCCCCCAGAGCAATCATCCTTTCCATGTGGTACTGTCTTTGGCAGGTTTTTCTTCATTTCCCTCATCTCCTGTTCAGTGAAAACAGTACTTTCTTATGCAGCAGAATTCCAGGTTCTGGACAAGGCGACTGCACTGGTTGCCAGGCAAATTAATGAGTATGACTCTGGAGTTGTCTGTTTGGCATCCGCTGATGTGCCTTTACTTAATGTGTTGCAGAGCAGGTTGATTACTTGAATGAAAATTGATGGGAAACGAAAGAAATGTCGAAACAAGAAGTACAGCTAAGAGTTTGTGTGTGGGCAACTGGAGCACAAAGCTGGAATGTCCTGGTTGCACAGCTGGCGTCCCCTCTCTTTTGGGCACCTGCTGCCCAGCATATCACATCTTGGCATGTTCCTGCAAACTCTGCCTGTTCACAGGGAGAGTGCAGGTGAAATGCGGGGCGTGTTGGTGAGTCCGGATACAATAGCCACAGGAATAACAAGCCATGGTTACACCAGCATGCCCACTGGTCAAGTGCCAAAACCATGCTTGTGGGCAGGTCACCAACTGCTGCTGAAGCTCGCAAGCCCTTTCGCCAAATGCAAATCTGGCCGCATACACAGCCAAGGGGATCTGTATGAGCCGGGCATGGGCGCTCAGAGCCTCGTCGCCAAAGGGCCCTCGGGGATGCCAACGGCAGTCCATCAAGATCCTGGTGGTCGACTGCTGTCGTGCATCTCGAGAAGAAGTAAGCGAGGAGCGTCAATTGCACTGCGCTTCGGGTCCAGAAGGATGGTCGCAACAACAAAATGGCCAATGACTGCACTACCGGCCCAGTCATGCCCCTGGGTGCTGTGCCAAACGACATCGAAGCTCGCCGGCCATGTCGCGAAGAGGAAAACCAGACACGCGCAGCCACAGCGAAGGAACTCGTCGAAGAGACGACACACGGGTGATCAACCCCAGGGACTGTGACAGTGCTGTCGATGATTGTCGCTGTCCTTTGAACAGGCATCCGCCCCTCTAGTGACGGCGTCCAGGGCGGAAGGACGCAAGCGAGAAGCGCCAACTGCTCAGCGCTTGAGCGCGAGGATGGACCACGATTGCGTGGCCAGAATTGCCAAAGCATGACGGCCGAACCATGCCTGTGTTGCCAACATTGCTCCTGGGCACTTTGTTGGCCAATAGAAGCTCATGGCCCCTTCGTGTGGAAAGCACACTTGACGGGCGCGCGCGCGCAACCACATCGAAAGAACTCCGCTGCGAGCCTCGACGGCGGGAGGCAAACCTGCCGGGCTGATTGATTGTCCCCAGAGCGCCATAAACTTTCTGCGGGCCACAACCGGGCTGGGGAATACCAGATGCTTGCTCGTGGACCAATGCCGCCCGCGATAGAACACGTCAAGCGCCAAAACCGGGTGAGGAGCAGCCCCCATACGCAAAAATAGCTGAACGGAAAGGAAGGTGGGAAGACAGCCCACTAACCCCATTGCCCGCGCAGTGACAGACCATCAAACACAGAGACATGCGGACCGCGCCCCTAGACAAGCCGTGCACACCGGCGACCCACCTGCGGCCGGTGGACGGTTGGTCCCCGAGACAATCAACTCCTTCAACCGGCTGGGGCGCAGTGTTGCAGACTGAACACGTGCCCGATGTCGCCTGTAGCTGAGTGTTGATGGCGTGGAAGCCGCTGTTGGGTACCTCGCGGGTTCCTCGAGCATTATCTAATGAAATGAATTCGTCACTTCTTCTCTAGTCGCGTCGCAATAGAAACGAGAGTGCATGGAGCCCAGCGAGGGTGGCGTTCCTCCCAATCAGCAAAATGCCCCTCCCAACGGATGTGGGGTGCCTTGGTAGGTCTTGTCAGCCATTTCAACAATGAAATCAAGGCTACGCATCAACACAGCTTAGGCACATGGCCAGGCCAGGACAGGCCATCTGGTAGGGATGGCCATCTTCGGGAGGCGGGCCACATAATGTGCCCCACATTCAAGAGTAGCATTCCCAGCAGCAAAAGCTTTTCTTCCCCGACCAAACCGGGTCCCCCATTGGGGTCAGGTGGTTTTGCGTCAGGGCCAAGAGACATGATTTGCAAAGCTACGCAACACTTGACCTCCCAGAGATTGCCGTCCTCTTCATTTTCACAGGAGGTTGCATAACACAGCCTGCATCGGAAAGCCATTGTGTGGTGTCAAACATGTAGCATCTGATGACATGAATGTGATTCCGTGGGCGTGCTACGTGGGGTCATAGAACTTTCACGCCAACATCTGCAATTTGGGTAGACGTGATGCAACGGTGTGCGCAACGTGTCATTGATACAACGCCAAATAATTCTGCAGCAAGTCCAGAGCTTAGTCATCGACGCCATGCTGGCACACTCGTCAACATTTCTCAAAAGTGAAATATGGGTTTTTGCTGATGCGTTGGTTGGTATTGGATCAACGTCAATACAGCCAAAAGATTGCATCAACGTCTGCCCTTCCAGATGAGTGCAAGGATCAGATTTTGTGAGAAGACGATTGCTTAGGTGGTGTTAATATTGCGAGGCATTGGCTATTAGCTATTGGCGTTTCCCGCAGCGTTTCCATGGTCATGAAAACTTTGCATCAGATGCATGCTACTATTTTACCGCAAAGTAACCATCGCAGCAACATTAATCCGCCTGCTGAGCAACATGTATGCTGACTGATTGGATCTGCATGTCATTGAGTTTGCCATTGAGCTTGGCACCCTGACACTGTTGAGTGGGTTCAAAATGAGGAGTCATTTAATGGCATACTTGCTGTTGTAGAGGCAGTCGGAGAGGGTGCCATGTATGGGTCGCACGTGGTTGCTGAAAAGTTGAATTTGCATATCATCGAAATTGTGTTGAATGGCTATTATGTGTGACTGCCGATTAAGGCTGGTGAGTCATGGCCACGTATATTTGAGGCAGAATGAACGTCCCATCCAAACGCCCAGACAGAGGCACCCAAGAAACGCACAGTAACACACTAAAATCTCAAGCACAAATGTGCAAAGGAATTGTAAGTGATTAGGGCAGTTGGCTGAACCGGAAATGAGTCCTGTCACAGGCTGAGACATGACAGATGTTGTTCCATCTGTGTGCCTAAGCTGCCCGCGTCTTACGCGCTCCGAATTTCACAGGAAACCAAACTGACCTTTCGCCCGCGCAAGTTCCCTAGCCAAGTTGCCGAGCTGCAATGACTCATCGCATATTAAGGAGTAAAAGATGCACCAGATCAGTTCACTTGCTGTTCAAATTAGCCTAGCAAGCCTTGCGGTCAGAATCAAGCTACAGTCAAATAGATAATCTATTACGTTGGTGTCAATCGTTGACACCAAACACAGTAAGTAGCGCAGCACCAACCGCTGTCCAAAGCTGGAATAGCTAGTTAGTATTTATGACCACTCCCAGCCAGTCCTTCATACTAATCCCAGGCCTTTTAGAGCTGCCAAACGATACCAATATCTCGTCAGAGTATAATTTGACGTCCAGCTTTTCCACTGGTTTTGTGTGTACTCAGAACATCTCAGTTCCTAATAACCTTCTCAGACAGCGCTTTCCAGCTCTTTCTTAGGTGGTGTGCCTAATTTTTGGTCAATGAATGTCCCTGATCTACTTGTGTGCTTCCTGACAGGTCACTCTTCGCCAAGGCAGGCGTGCACTCCAATTTTACTCGTTTAATAAAGGGGAGTGTTAGTCTCGTGAGGCCTAGTGTTGTTGTGAAAGTTTTATTTGGGCTGCCTCATCTCTTAACTCTCAAGTTTGTATTTGACCAAGTACAACATGTATGGAATATAACTATGTTCTGATTGTCTTTTGATGACTTCCCAATGTCTACTCCAGTCCTTTACTCTCCGCTGGACCTTAACGAGACAATGGTTCAGTTGGTTCCTTATGAAACCTATATTCAGCTAGTCTGAGACATAACTATATTATCGACACCGTTTACATTTATCGATACTACAGGAAAAATGGGCATAAGGTATTTTTCATCTTTGTATGCCCACCTCCCGTAAATTCATTTCTTTAGGCTACTTCCTCATTTGCTATGCCTATGTCATATTGCAAAACCTCTAGCACATTAGTATTGGGGATGCCCATGTAATATTGTGGGGAATATTAGCTATGCCTATACAACTTTTTGAAAGCCTTATGCCCATTTTTCCCGTAAGGGTGTTATTTAGGTCCTTTTGGACTTCAATGTACGTCCCTCTCTTATGCACCGCAGTCGGATGCTCCTCAATGTCTTCGAACCCTTTACTTGCCTTCTACAAAATGGCCGCTGATTTGGGGCCCGGCAGGCTTTCCCAATAGATCAGCAGTAATTTGCTTTTTCCCTCAAATAAAATGCACGGCAAATGAATCAAATAATGACTACAACGCAATCCTATACAATCTGCAATCTGTTCCACAATGAAATGCCGTTTAGGTCTTTCCCTTGGTCCCCTTGCCTTTTGGGCTCGGAGCCAGCCCAATCAACTTTTTTGAATGGGGCACATCCCCGCTATTTACAGGCCTCATGCATCCCCACCCGTCCTCGGAAATTCCAAAAGCAATCTTGAATATTCGATATCATCCTTTGATCCCCTAGGCTCTTCCTTGCCTGTCCCATCAACGTCCATGTAGCAACACCCTTGATTCCATCGCCCAACGGTCAAAACCGGCTCACTTCGCAATTGCCCAGCCAGTGTCAATGGCCTATTTAATCACTCTCATTGTGACGTGGCTGCTTGGGGTTAGGCTAAAATTGATATTTCTGAAGCGGCGGTTAGTCAAAAAAGTGCAAATACGGCAAAATCAGCTTATTCAGGAGCTCCTGATGCCAATAGCGACTTGAAACGTCCAATTCCGTGTAGAAATGGCGAAGTTATGGCCAGTTGAAGTTGCAATACTTTAGCATGGGATTCGGACCGGTAGATGGAAGCATCGGGGATTATGTGGAGCTGATTTAGGTGAATGGTGGACGGTGACAATGTGCCTGGACGCGCACTTGTTTTGTCTTGTCATGATGTGACCGCGATGGACCCGCGATCGGGCATCGCGCATGCGATATGTGCGCGCGCATGCAGTGAATCGTTGTAACACTTTTGGCCCACTCTCTGGCCTCCCGCGAGCCAGCGAACCACCGCCTCGCTGCGCCGCCACCTCTCGCCAACAGCAGGCCCCGGGGATCGATCCCCGTCGAGCATTGGGCCCACCGCGCGACCACAGGAGCGACTGCCCCGGATACGCCCACCGTCCAAGGTGGAGA